GCGCAGATGATGTATTGGATAAAATGATCATGCCAGGCCACCATTTGGAAAAATTAAATAAGCGCCCCCATCTTCTCCTAATTTTGAAATAAGCGTCCCGGGCGCTAATGAGGATTTACGGTATTTAATTTTTTTCTTTGGTATTCGGTTTATGAACGTCCGGATTGGTCATACTCTAGTAAACCCGTGCATATAAGAAAAACAGGATGACAGAATACCCAGCCTCTAGGTGTAATATGTAACTTGTTGAATCTGTCTTACCCATCGATAGAGAACTGCACACCTTATTTTCAGACTCACAGCAACCGAACCAGTGGCACAAATTAATCAGTGCAAAGTTGATTATTTGCAACGTGATGTACAGCTGAATGTGTTGACACAAGTGAGGAGCTAAAATTTCCTGCATCTCTGGCATGCATGTTGTTACGTATTTAGTACCGCGGTTTTATGCCTCACAATTATCATAACACAAGATGTGGATAGCGTGACTTAATAATACTTCCCAAACTAGCAGAGAAACAGGAAGAAGAAATTCTCGACGTACAAAGCCAATTGAAAAACAACCGCGCACCTCAATTTCAGCCTTGTAGCTAAAGCAAAACAGGAATATAATGACTCAGTTTTTCTGCCAGGGAAAAAAATGTTCTTGAAATCTTAGAAAAAATTTACTTCCTTTAAGTATAACTCGTTTGGACGTGACTCGGTGAGTTAGACCGACCAGTTTATGACTGACCAATCGTCGTCGAAGAAAAACGAGCTGAAAGAATACCCAGCTTATAGGTATAATATGACACTTGGTAAATCTGTCTTAGCCCAGCGATAGAGAACTGCCCACCTTATTTGCAGTCTTTCAGCTGAGCCAGTGACACAAATTATCTACATCGCTTTGCAAGATGTTTAGAGTTGCAGTGCTTTTGAGAAGTGTGGCTATTCTTGTTTCCTTTGCAGTAAGTACACCGCGAATATTCTTCTTACGAAGATTGAGTTGGGTTTTTTGTTTTTCAACCTTTGTGTTTGAAGTCCTTTAAATCCAGTGAGTAATTTAACAGCGACTGCAAAAAAATCTGTTTGGCGAGCCCATAGACTTTATGATGTGATGTTTCCATATAGATGATGAGAGGGCTAAACTTGTCCAATAAAATTAAGATTTCGTAGCAAACATTTCAATTCTATGAAGAAAAACAGTACAATATCTGCTTCACTATAATTCGGATTCGTAGATTATTTTCCTCAGTTTACATCTTAAGAAGCATACTTGACAGATCCACCCCTCTGTTAACTTTTCTTGCCAAGAATTATAGCAACATCGACAACAACTGATACACTTGATATACCTGACGCTATGATCGGAATTCTTTCCTGTTACTTTGTACATCAAGTTCATTTAGTGTATCTTTGGTACTCAAGAACCGGTGTGCTCTCCAGACTTAAATATGAAGTCCTCAATTCTGTATTTCAGTAGACACAAAGCTAAATAGTGAGAAACGAATTCTATTTGTCGCTGAAATCAGAATGCGTGTCTCAATACCGGTTGAGATGTTTCATTTCAAATTTTCATATTTGCTATATGTTACGTAAGACCACTCGGTTAGCCAGATTTCACTTCTGCACTTTGTTGCTTTCCGCTGTTCGACATCACTGAGTTTAAGCTGCCCGACTGACGGTAGCCTGTGGTCGTGGCTTCTGCAATACTAAAGCTTCTTACTTAAGCAAACTAATCTAACAAGACGAGATCGAGTATTGTTAAGATCATTGTTTAGACCAACTTTTTTTTTTTTTTTTTTT